AGCGAGTCTCAAATAAATAGAGTGGGTCTCTAGTAAATGGTTAATTGATTCGAACAATCTGTTAAGAGTGAGTCTCCAGTAAATAATTCACTGACTCAAATGATCTGTTAAGAGCAAGTCTCCAGTAAATATTTAACGAATTCAAATAATTTGTTTGGAGTGGTTCTCCAGTAAATGATTTGCTGACTCAAATGATCTGTTAAGAGCAAGTCTCCAGGTTAAAATTCACTAATTCAAATGATTTGTTCAGAGTGGATCTCCAGTAAATAATTTGCTGATTCAAAGTAACTGTTCAGAGTGACTCTACAGAAAATGATTTACTCACTCAAATGATCTGTTATTTCAGTAGTAATTGTTTTTTTTTCTTTTCTTTTTTTGAAAAACAACAAATAAAATTACTATGGGTACTAATAATGAAAAAAATTACATGCAATAAATTTTTTTGTATTATATCATTATTTAATAATAATAATAATAATAATAATAATAATAATAATAATAATAATAATAATAATAATTTTTTATGTATTAAAGTTATTTTAATTCATATTCACACATTCAAGCAGGTTTTAAAAGGGAGTATTTCTGTCTTAAAAGACCACATAACCTTCCTCCACCTGTTTTGAGAATCTCCCACATGCCTTCTGGCAAACTGAAGCCAACATGTCATATGACTTTTTAGTCAACAACAGTAGCTTTATCTTTGGCACTCTCTCATAAAGCTGGGACTGAAGAAGCACCCAAGCAACAGTTGCTGTATGCACAGTCTCCAATCTTAGCCACAAAAGCTTGTAAATCATTGGTCTCTTGGTGGTCTCTCTCCCCAGTCTTGCATGGTCACTCAGTTTTGGAGGAGAGTCTAGGTAGCTTTATAGCTGTGCCACACTCTTTCCGTTTCTTAATTGTGTATTTAACTGTACTCCAAGGGATATTCAATGACTCGGAAATTGTTGTGTATCCGTCCCCTGCCTTGTGCTTTTCAATTACAATTCACTCTCGCTGTGTGGAGTCCTCAATTTCTTCTATAATGACTCCACTGAAGTTGGACCTTCCAGACAGAGCTGTGCTTATACTACTATCAACTCAAACCACTTAACTACTCACTTTCAAAAACTAATTGGCTGCATTATTTACAGTTGAAGTCAGAATTATTAACCCCCCTAAATTATTAGCTCCCCTGTTCCCCCCACCCCCCCCAATTTCAGTTTAAAGGCGAGAAGATATTTTCAACACATTTCTAAACATAATAGTTTTAATTTTTTAAAACTATTTAAATCTTTAAAGTTTCTAATAACTGATTTATTTTATCTTTGCCATGATGAAAAAAATATTTGATTAGATATTTTGCAAGTCACTTCTATACAGCTTAAAGTGACATTTAAAGGCTTAACTAGGTTAATTAGGTTAACTAGGCAGGTTAGGGTAATTAGGCAAGTTATTGTATAATGATGGTTTTTTCTATCGAAACAAAATGTAGCTTAAAGGTATAATAATTTTGACCTTAAAATGGATGTTAAAAAATTTAAAACTGCTTTTATTCTAGCTGAAATAAAACAAATAAGACTTTCTCCAGAAGAAAAAAAATATTATTAGACATACTGTAAAAATATCCTTGTTCTGTTCAATGTGATTTAAAAACTTAACTAGGTTATTGGGTTATCTAGCAAAGTTAGATTAATTAGGTAAGTCATTGGACAACAGTAGTTTATTCTATAGCCTATAAAAAATAATAATACAGAACGTAATAATAGCTTCAAAATGTAAAACTGCTTTTATTCCAACCAAACCACAAGAAATTTTCCAAAAGACAATAAATATATAATATGAAAAAATGCCCTTGCTACACTAAACATCACTTTTTTCTAAACACTTTTTAGCTGAAAATTTTAATAAAAAATAGGAAGCAGGTTTAAAATTCCTAGAGCTTGTAAATAATTTATCCCAATTACAATTATATTAAATTGGATAATTGTTGTTATAACTGTTGATGTGAATGGTGCGGTTGTTAAGAATGATTTACAGTAATATGTATAAGGCTAATATGTTTTTTAAGTTTTTAATCCATGTGGTTGTCTTGATGAGTGTTGCTATTATGTGATTTTTGTATGGTTGTTACCAGTTGTATGGTTGTTATCAGTGTTAAAGACAATTTTCTTTCTGTGCCAAGCAGAATGGACAATAAAGTTTAAACAAAACAAACCAAATACATTGTCAATGCTACTAAAAGACAAAATAAATATTATATATTATATATAATAAAATAAATGTTTTATAGGCACTGCATTCTCAAAGACAAAACAAACACTGGATCTTGAAGGCACACCCAAAACTGGGTCTTATACATATATAAATATATATATATATATTTAAAAAATATGGCTCATACTTACTGTAGGGAACACATTCATACTGGACTTCAAGGTACTTATAAGTTCCTGGGCAAGGGTCGGGAAAAACATCTGGTCCAGTGATGACAATGCATTGTGTTCTGTTGTTACACCTGGACAGAGTAAGGGGAAAAAAAAGGTAATCAGATGCTTGAAACACAAATAAAATTATTTCCATTTGTTTAAACTTTAAGCAATAGCACATTGTAACAAAATAAATGACAAAAGCCAAGAAATTTTTTATTTTTTTTATTTTGCTCTAACTTAATAAGTTAATCAGGTCTCAACTACATTTTTTAAGTTATGAAAGCTAGTTATAATCTGGGTGTGTTTTAGTCCAGGGGTGAACAAATTGTTTCTTGTTTCTATTAAAAAGTTGCCATGGATAATTTCTATTTTTTATATATATTATTTGGAAATAAATATAAAGAATTACATCAATCATGTTAGGCTAACTAATGCATTATAATTTTTTAGCATTTTATATTTAACTTATTACAATAAAAACAAACAAGTCCATTTAAAACACAATTATTCATTCCCAACATTTAATTCAAGCTTGCTTTTGTAAGCTCAACAATAAAACAAACAAATGATTACAATAAATTAGAAATGACAATCACTAAAGGCATTCTTTGTTTTTTTTTTCTCTTCTCAGACTGGATGGTGGACTTAATCAAAGGTTAATGATGATCGCAAGGTTTCCATAATCCTGGACCAGACCGTATCCTGAGCAGCTGCTGTAGTGGTCATGGAGGAGTGAAGATCATGAGACTGATTCCTTTTGACCCAAACTAAGCCTGGTTTCTCTCGAAGTTTTTTAATTCTTTACTTTCGCTAATTGGTGAAGTTTTTTCCTCGCCGATGTCGCCACTGGCTTGTATGGTTCGGGATATGCAGAGCTGCGCATTGATGGATTTGCTCTTCAGTGTTTGGACTCTTAGTAGTGATGATTAACCACACTGAACTGAGCTAAACTGAACTTAAACACTGAAAACTGAACTACAATGTTTCAATTTACTATGATCTTCTATTTGAAGTTGCTTTGACACAATTTACTTTGTAAAAGCGCAATACAAATAAAGGTGAATTGAATTGAATTGAGTCCATATATTCAAGGCCGCTGCACATCTCCATAGAAGAGGCCGATGTAGATGGTTTATCCCTACTGTCATTTAACTTCTTTAAAGTGCCACTTTTTAACCAGGTGTCCATTTTGATGAATATTGTAGCAAAAAAAAATTACTTTGTTCACTTAGCGCCTAATGTGAAAGGGTCGGGGCTATTGTGACGCAGACGTGAAACCGCGAGATGAGTATATATGCATAGGTTGTAAATCACAATTTGTAATGTGATTTGTTTCTCTTTCTCACTGAATTTCTTTTCTCTCAAAAATAAGACATTGAAATTTATCCAAGATAAATTAATAAAAATAAGGAAAGATAACATTTTTCGACGTTACAAACATTTTCTAGCGCGCCCCTGGTGGTCAGACTGCGCTCCCCAGTTTGGGAATCGCTGCTAAAGGCTAACAATCTGTTAATCTGTGTAAGTAAATACACAGAAAAAAATGTTTGTTTTCCTAATCTTCAATCAAATTTTGACCATTTAGTAATCCTTTTCAGTTTATGTCAGTTGGACGGCACCATATTCCTAACTACACATACCCTTAAGGTTGATTTATACTTCTGCGTCAAGCTCACGCGCATAGTCCGCGCACAGCCTACGCATACCCATCGCCTGACGCTCACCTCTCAAAAATGTAACTACATGTCACAATGATGTGTAGCACAAGCTCTGTGATTGGTCAACTTTGTAGCAGTGACAAGTGTGAGTGGTGCCAAAGAGCTTAGAATGACCAAGAGGCGACATTCTGATGTAATTTGGGAAACAGCCACTAGAGGGCGCGGCGGCCAATAGAAAAACATGCATATTACGTCTGCAAAAATAAACTATTAAAAGTGCTGATGTTCGTGATAATACGTGTTGTATTGTCGTCTTTCAGGTTGTATATCAACTTTAAAGCACTTTTTGAATAAATAAATAAAAAACAACGCAGCTGCTTGCCGTCGTGACAGTAATGAGATCCAATGGACGGCCGATCACTTTCACTCCAAAATGGCGGAATCCATGGCTGTTGCAATGGAACGTTCTATTGAGTGTCGCCTCTTGGTCATTCTAAGCTCTTTGGTGGTGCTGAGAGCCGCAAGCCCGATGGAGTGAGTGTTTACAAGTGTCGAGTCCCATGAAGAATCTTCAGATAGAATCTTTTGTTTTTTGTTTACCTTATGATTAAAGTTGTTGCACGTCCACTGGTTTCCACCTCGGAATGAGTGAATTTTAGCTACTTGTACATTAGGGTAGCGTTTAGAAAAAACATAACTCCAAACTCGACACAGAGGAACATAAAAACCTTCTACCAGCTAGTGTTTCGCAAGTGTTATTGTAAAGCAACTGAAACATCACGCAGAAGTATGAATGCACGACTATGCGTAAGGGATGCGCCGTGAGTCACGCCGATCACTCGACAGAGAAGTATCAATCAGCCTTTAGCTTGCTATAAAGGAATGACACAATATTTTCCTACACAATATTCTGTTTCGATTGGAAGTACATCAACATACTAAAATAAAAGTCTCAGCAACTTCTAATTCGCCCAGAATTCAAGCAAAGAGCAACCATACACATGTGAACACACACCTGATGGACAGACGGATGGTGGCCCAAAGCAGGAGCCAGATAAAAGACGACGGGATGTAGCCGAGCGAATAGATGCCAAAGTGGCCCTTTTCAACCCAACGACAAAGATAAACAGCCTCATCTATGAGTGTTCATACCTGCCAGCACATGAGTTATACATCTGTATGAAACCCCCCTGAGGCCAGGCTGATTGTACCAATGATGGATTCATTTTCTTTATATGCCATTTCACTCAGAATGAACTAAGCATCCCTCCACTGCCTGTTTAACAGGAAGCCATGCAGAAGGTGGTTTATGCGGGGTTCTAGGAACTAAAATTACGCACATCAATAAAAGATAAAGTGCAGAAATGATCTCATGGCTTGCAGACACTGCGTACAGTGAGATGCTAGAAAAGCAGCGACTGTACCGTCCATCAATCTGCGTCACGTTGTTCCTGAAGTCTGCGTCTATAAATCTGCTGAACGCTAAGCACTTACAATTCGTCATTTGAAGTAATTATACAATTTAGAACCAAGAAGGGTTCAAAGCTCTAATTTTTCTATATGCAATCAATTTAGCATTGTATGCAGAAAAAAAAAAAGAAAAAAAGTTTCTCGAGCTCCAAATCATGATGAAAGAATGAGTACAGAAGGTCAATGTGACAGAGGATTGGAATAATGGCTACTGAAAATGCCAATTTTACTGAAAAATAAATTAAATATTTACACTTTCCAAACCATTAAAATCAGTAAAATAATGTAACCAATATTTAGTTTTTAACCAAAATAATAATAATAATAATAATAATAATAATAATAATAATAATAATAATAATAATAATTTAGAAAAAAAATGTTTTGAAGTTATGACTTGTTTGCAGTGTGATTAACGTTTAGGTTAGTTGTAGATGAGTTTGGAAGCAACTCGTACCATTTTAATAATATTTTTGCAAAACGAACAAAATGACTCAAAAAAAGATTCGTTCACCTTACTGAACTACACTCAAAGGTCCAAATTAATAAAATGATCTGAACCTCCTATCACTAATGGCTTATACATTTTAAAACCATTAAGTTCTATTTTTTTCTTTTTATGTTATCAATTTAGCATTGTATCCTGAAAAGAAAAAGAAAAACGTTTCTCGAGCTCCAAATCATCATGAAAAAAATTACTACAGTAGGTCAATGTGACAGAAGACTGGAATAATGGCTACTGAAAATGACAATTTTACTGAAAAATAAATAAAATATTTACACTTTCAAAACCATAAAAAATCAGTAAAATAATGTAACCAATATTTAGTTTTTAACCAAAATAATAATAATAATAATTCAGAAAAAAAAAAATGTTTTGAACTTATGACTTGTTTATAGTTTGATTAACATTTGGGTTAGTTGTAGAAAAGTTTGGAAGCAACTCGTACCATTTTAATAATATTTTGGCAAATTATAGAAAAAGAATTTAAAAAAAAAGATTCATTCACCTCACTGAACTACACTCAAAGGTCCGAGACAATAAAATGATCTGAACCTCCTATTACTAATGGCTTATACAATTTAGAGCCAATAATTTAAATTTTTTTTATGTTATCAATTTAGCATTGTATCCTGAAAAGAAAAAAAAAAAAAACGTTTCTCGACCTCTAAATTATTATGAAAAAAATTACTACAGTAGGTCAATGTGACAGAAGACTGGAATAATGGCTACTGAAAATGACAATTTTAATGAAAAATAAATAATATATTTACACTTTCAAAACCATTAAAAATTTGTAAAATAATGTAACCAATAGTTAGTTTTAACCAAAATAATAATAATAATAATTTAGAAAAAAAAATTGTAGTTATGACTTGTTTGCAGTGTGATTAACGTTTGGGTTACTTGTAGAAGAGTTTGGAAGCAACTCATATCATTTTAATAATATTTTGGCAAATTGAACAAAATGACTCAAAAAAAGATTCGTTCACCTTACTGAACTACACTCAAAGGTCCGAGACAATAAAATGATCTGAACCTCCTATCACTAATGGCTTATACAATTTAGAGCCAATAAGTTCTATTTTTTTATGTTATGAATTTAGCATTGTATCTTGAAAAGAAAAAGAAAAACGTTTCTCGACCTCCAAATCATCATGAAAAAAATTACTACAGTAGGTCAATGTGACAGAAGACTGGAATAATGGCTACTGAAAATGACAATTTTAATAAACATTCATAATATCACAGTATTTTTTTCTTTATTTGTCATCAATTAAGTGGCACATTAAAAACCAAAACCATTAAAAATCAGTAGCACCAATGTAACCAATATTTACTATTTTTATCCAAAGATTAGTGATATTCTTAACAGTAACTCAAAACAATGATGATTCTTTAGATGAACATTTATGGTGGGTGAAAAAACACTAAATCAACTTTACTACTGCAGTTT